ACAATTAAAAATTGTGAGTAAAAACCACAAGTTATTAAATTAATATTTTATAATATTATTTTTATTGTGCTTATAAATAAAAGCATAATAAACAATATTTTAAAATAAATTTTATAACGTGTAGTTTTTACTCACAATTTTTAATTGTGACGGGTGGGACAAAAATCCCTGAGTAACGTGGAATGACCCATATACATATTATGTATCCTCTACAATAAGCATTAGAGTTTATGTTTCAAAATTATTATTACGTTGCACGCAACCTATTTGTCACCTGTCATCACACTGGTATCCTGTCGATTTTTTTAAATACCATATACGAGCCCTAACCACATAATGTTCGGACACTTCATAATTTATACAGAAATTTTTTTCGTGAATACTATCTCAAAATTATTAGAAGTTATGAAAAATTCAGCTTATTTTGGCATATACCCCTCGAAGCGATTTTTATTTTTAAAAAGTTTACCTTTTATTTTTAGCTTTTAAAAAAAGGCTAACTTTTTAACTTTTTTTTGCATGAGTAAAAAAAGTTATAAATGGGCCCATTAAAAAGAACATAAAATATTATACAAACCCTGAAAATTTGGTAAAAATTGTATAAATAATAAGAAAGTTATAGCGATATATATATCTGCAAAATCTCCCGTTTCCTAAGAAAATTGCAAAAACTCTTTAAAAATAGCATTTTTAAATTACTTATACTTTTTTATAACTTATTTATTTTTTACCAAATTTTCAGGGTTTGTATAATATTTTATGCTCTTTTTAATGGGTCCATTTATAACTTTTTTTACTCATACAAAAAAAAGTTAAAAAGTTAGCCTTTTTTTAAAAGCTAAAAATAAAAGGTAAACTTTTTAAAAATAAAAATCGCTTCGAGGGGTATATGCCAAAATAAGCTGAATTTTTCATAACTTCTAATAATTTTGAGATAGTATTCACGAAAAAAATGTCTGTATAAATTATGAAGTGTCCGAACATTATGTGGTTAGGGCTCGTAATATAATATATTATTATTATAATATTATTAAAAAACCATGTAATATAATATATTGTTGTTATAGGTAATATTATAAATTACAATATTGAGTAAACAATTGTATTGTCATCCAGTTCTGAGCTATGTTTAAAGTTTTAAGTATCTATCTCTTTGGGAAGTTAGTTTAAAATTGATTATAAAATTTGTACAGACTAACTGTCAAGAAATCGTCTCAAACGTCTCAAAATACCAGAAAAAGCAATCAGTTGCTATTTAAAACACTTATTAAAAATGTCAAATATAGCTATTTACATACCATGGGAGGAAAATATTGCATTTCCTCCCGCGAATAGTTTGATGCCCGACGCGAAGCGAAGGGCATTAAATATTCAAGGGAGGAAATGCATTTTCCTCTTGAGGTATGTATATAGTTTTTTCTATTACCTTTTAACGGTTTTAAGACATTTTAAGCGTTCCGTTTCCTTTTACTTACCCGGTTTGGGGCTATAAAATTATGACAAAATATTAAGTAGGTTTTGCGTCGCCGACGTTATGTTGACAACGCTTTGTTGCTATGGTATTTTTGGTAATACCAACATTACAGTTTTTATAAGCTGTCATAATGTTTATCATAAATTTAATAGTTGCAATTAATTTCCTTCCTTAAAGATCTAAAATAGTGAATATGAATATAGTTTATTAAAAGAATGTTAAAAGAATGGTTGGACAAGAGCAGAGTAAATCTTTTTCCTACAAAATCAAATAAGGCTAGACAAGGTACAAAAACTCTTGCCAATGTAAAATTAAAAAAAAAAAAGAGGGAGGGATTTTTTTTCCCTCCCGGGGAGGAAAAGAGGCATTTTCCTCCCTCGCTCGGGGGTGGAAAAATAAGTTTTCTAGTAAGGTAGTAGAAAAAATGATTTTTTTAGGTGGAACACTACTGGGGACACTCCCCTACTTATTTAAAGTTTGTGTCATTTCATTATTATCTATTTGCCGAAAATGAAAAACAATAATTCGGTAAAAAAAGAGTATAGTGCGACGGGAGCACCAACCCAACCCAACCCTGGCCCTTCGGTCCCCCCAAAATTCCGAGGATGCCCGCAGCGCTCCCTCTTGCTGTTTTGTTCCACGAATGCGTTTTACATATATAGCGTTTTACTCTCTGAAAACTATATATTTTGACTAAAAACCGCTCGTATTTATGGTCCACCCGATATAATTATTTGCTTATTTTCTAGTTTTAGTTATCTGGGGGATTATCCTTAGAATTTTTGAACTTTTTTTGCTCCTTTGCACGACAACGATTTAAAAGTAGATAAAATGTTTCAAAACCTACCTAAAATTGATTCATTAAGTCAGTTTTATTAGAATTAACCCTTATCTCCTATACTATAGAACCTATAGTTAACTGCTGGCTACCTTATGGGTAATAATAAAAATAGTAAAAATACATAGTAAAAAGGTGTAGTTGAAATTTTATGACATGAGCCCTATAGAGTTTTGATATTTTACATCGATGACGTATACGTCATCGATGTAAAATATCAAAACCCGGTTTCTCCACGATACACATAAACACTTTATGCTAGGCATTTACGTCACATTCGAGACTCGAAACTGCTTATTTGACTTGCTGATGCATTTTTTAATAATATTATTGTGTTTAATTAGTAATTATTATTATGTTTAATGTTATTGTTGTTTTAGAAGCAAAGAGAATTGTGTGACACACAATGTGTGTATATAATCTATATTATATAAGTTTAAGGTATTTAAATTTATTATTTGTGTGAAAAATTTAATAAATCTACAAAGGGTACCGACATAAAAAAACTTCAGATTTCCAAAGAAAAAGGATTTGGCAAAACAATTGTTTAATTAATGAATAAACGCTTGCCGGAGATAAGATAAAATAAATTTGAAAAATGGTTAACGTTGTTAAATAGGTACTATACAGAGTGTTCCAACAAAAAGTTATACTCCCCAAACGTTTTAACGGGTGAATTTGGACAAAATTACTTGGACACGTCAATTTTATTTATAGGGGGAGGAATTTTAATATACGATGCATGCCCTCACACGCAGGGCCGTACCGAGGCTCACTTTTTTGGGGGGGTGGAGACGATAAAAAAACCAACTTATTTTTTTATCGATACTTTAGTAGTAAAAATTTTCAGTAGTTTTATCTTGTATGTAAAGTGCTGTAAAGTGTAGATAAAGAATGTCTTTACCTACCATTAGCAATGCTAATTTAGCATGCTCTTTCAAAGTCGATGGGATTGATTCTCGTTCTCTATTTTTTTTGACTTGCTGCCAATGTAAATGGATTATCCGGAACAGCAACAATTTTAATTTTTTTAAATTAAACCCCTAGGCAGGGGTGTCATACCCAATTTGAATTGAATTAAACCATTGTAAAGAAGATTTAAATGAAATTTCAGTTGATCATTAAAACTGTTGAAGGGTTTGTTTTTAAAGAGGAATTGATATTTATTTGATTTTTCAGAATTATTAAAGGTTTAATTTCACTTTTAAAGTAAATATAATATCTAAGGCATTAAATCAGGAAGACGTAGGTTATGCGTTTTAATTTTAACCAAATTTTCACCGTGAATATTTTTCTCATGCATTTTTTTCTAGTCCTTGTTAAACACAGATCCACATAATGAGCATTTTACTAGAACTCGGCCCGGTCTAGCTTTCTTTTCATATTAAAAAAAATTAATTCCTATTTATTGACACTAGTTTTACTTAGCTTAGATAAGCTTTAACTAAATAATAATCTAGAAAAATAAGACGCCGAAAATTGCGGTGCGTAAAAAGAGTCAAACGCCGCCAAAGCCAAAGAGGCGGTGCCGACTTTGCACATGCCGCTTGTATGAAATATATTGTTGACCCATACAATTTTCTTCACGGTAACGATTATAGGAGGTTACAATAGATTAAAAATTATAATTTTGTAATATGTAGGTATAGTTTAAAAATTATATTTCATTTTGATGATGGGTTGGTTGGTAGGGTAGGTATACCCAACCAACCGAACCAAATACTATAGATTTTGCCAACCGTGTTTGGATTTGGAACCAACTGCCAAGACTTTGGGGGGGATGACTCACCCCCCTACACCCCCCTTAGGCCCGGCCCTGCTCACACGCACCCTTACGCGCAACACCCCGCCCGAATCTTAAATTGCACGGGAGAAATATTATTTTAAAAGTCTTTTAATTCTTAATAAGATTATAATTCCCTGCGTCGTGAAAAAACAAGTTATAAAAATTTAAATATCAATGTTTATTTCAAAGTACAATTTACTCTTAAGAAAATAAAAAAGTTCTATTTTTTTTAAATTTAGAACAGAGGTTTAATAGAACCCGCCTATATAAAACCTACTTTTGCAATAATAAATACAACACTGCAGTTAATTGCATTTTAATTGCAAGATTGTCAGATTATTCAACCTCTTTGCAAAATAAGTTGCATTACCATAATTTAACTAACGTAATGCCATTACGTTAGTTAAATTAGTTTAGCGATATATATAGCTATATTCGTTATTGTAAAAAGTAGAATCTACCTACGTTATTTTGTAAATTTGCATATCTCTATTTATATTGTTAAAACAAAATTAAATTTTTAAAAACTTAACAGACCAGTATATTGGTGGAAGCCTAAATAAGTTACCCTGTGAAATTAGCTTTTTATACGCCAAATTAAAAGACACGTCCATTTTTAGGGAATTTTAACTCTTAGTATTATTTAAATATTAGAAATATAAGACAATTATTATTTTAATAAAACTAGAATAATTAAAAAAAACAAAATTAAAGTAATATAACTATACAGATTAATAATATTTAGTTATTTTGTTACAGCAAAATATGTCTATTACTTGATTACTATAGTAATCAAGTAATAGACATATTTTGCTGTAACAAAATAACTTGAGGTTTGGCAAATAGGTGTAGGTACCATACCTACTTGTTTACTAAATTATAAGAATTAATCCTAAACTTACCATGTTATTATTTATCACTGTACAGCTATGTAAAGATAATTAAACAATATAAATTTGAACTATATATTATAAAGTCAACAAGCAAATGAAATAATTATAAATGTACTTTACTTACTTTAAAAATTTGTATAATGCCACATAATTCCCATGAAACAATGAATATATACACTCGACCGCAAAATTAACCGGACACTTGATTTTTCCTTAATAAAATTTCTTAAACGCCCTGTATATTGATGTAACAACTATACACACAAAAAAAATATAAGATTAATTTATTCTAAAGTTTTTTAGGCTTTAAAATACGACGATGACATTGTTTTATACATTTTTTATATCTTTAACATTTTAATTGTTTGGAAGAGCTCTTTAATTCATTACTTATTTAAAAGAGCTCTTCAATTAATTTTTATTCCTGTTTGTTTTTGGCCTTTTACGGTTTTTCTAAGTTTGTTTTAAAAGTTATTTTTATTTAAAAAATCTGTAATGACTCCCGAAGAAGCTGCTCAAGCTGTTGCACTTTACAATGATGGACGCAGCATACGTTATATTGCCAACTCACTAAATATTCCCCGAAGTACAGTGTCTGATGCAATTCAAAGGTTTAGGGAAACAGGTTCCTATTCAAGATTACCTGGACAAGGAAGACCGCGATCAACAAGTGAAGTTGAAAACCGTTTTCTTCGACTTCAAGTTCTGCGAGACCGGACACTTCCTGCTACAGCCTTGTCTAGGAGATTGGAAGATGTTCATGGTACAACCATTTCATCAGATACTGTACTAAGAAGACTGAGGGAACATAACTTAGTGCCCCATCGACCTGCCACTGGCCCACTGTTGGACGCAGCCCATCGTAGACAGCGCTTGGAATTTGCGCGAACCCATGTCGATTGGGGTATGGTTGAATGGAGTCGTGTTCTCTTTACGGATGAGTCCCGTTTCATCAGATACTCACCTGATGGTCGACAACACGTGTTTAGACAACCCGGAGAGCGATATATTCAGTGCTGCTTCTCTCCCAGAGTACAGTTTGGCGGTGGAGGTGTAATGGTTTGGGAAGGCATTTCTTTGGAGGCTCGTACGGCACTTGTAACGTTTCAAGGGGGTAGTATAAACGCTGACAGGTACACAAGGGAGTGTCTCGAAAAACATGTGGTACCTTATGCACCCTTTATTGGAGACCAATTCTTCCTTATGCAGGATAATGCTCGGCCGCACATAGCCCAGGTAACGCGTCAGTACCTTCACGACGTTGGTATTCAGGTTCTGGGCTGGCCACCTAGAAGTCCTGACCTGAATCCCATTGAGCATGTGTGTGATAACCTAGGGAGAAGAATTAGGCAAAACTACGGGAAGTTTCACACACTGGTTCAATTGGAAGAAGCGCTATTGGTTGAATGGGAGCAGATACCTCAGGGTGATGTGGCTGCTTTAATTCAAAGCATGCCTGAAAGGCTAAGAGCTGTCATTCGAGCTAGAGGTAGAAATACTCGCTATTAGGGCATTTTTTTGTATTTTTTTCTGTTAAATAAAGGATATTAGTTTGTTTTATTTTTCAAAAATGTTTTTTTATAAATAATTAACAAATGTTTTTTTAATTTTTTCTGGTTAAAAATGTTTAATAATAAGGGATTTATTAAAAATAATTAAAATTTGTTTATATTTTCTTATTTATAAAATATATTTTCCCGAAAAACAAAGTGTCCGGTTAATTTTGCGGTCGAGTATATAGGGTATACTTGAAAAATACATTTTTGGTGGTTAATAATTTGATTAATAATTAATTAGATGGTTAAAATATCATTGTGGCCAAATATTTAAATTTTGGATTGTACTTTACTTTTTAATCAGCCAGTTTTATAACTGCATTTAACATTTTATAAGAAATAATTTTTTTTATATAAAATTTAAAATACACTCTGACAAAAAACTGCTTTCCTTTCGAGTAAGGCAATACTCGTACTTCTATTATACGTGGTAAGCTCTGAATGCAATTTTCAATTGATTCTTGCGAAATATTTTGCTACTCTTTAAAAAGAAGTTATAAACCTTCTTAAGAAGAAATACTCGATCGCAAAAAATCTAATTTGCTGGAATTCCGGTTGGCAGGTTCAGTACCAGACTTGACCGATGCAATTAAAGTGGGGAGAATGTCACAGGTGCAAGCCTCCAAACATTGGCAAATACCTACGGGAACAATTTAAAATAATCTATATTTGAGTGGCATGAATGTCGCGTGGGTCACCCCACTGTGGAGCACCGTCCTGGGGGCTAATATCGGAGTCTGAAATCTCATACCGATAAGACTGAATTTTGTGTCTTCACTGAAAAAGTTTGGAAACCCCTGACTTAGGCCATATGCCTAATATAAATATATTTTAAAAGTGAACTGTGTATTCTGTATTTTTTCCATTTTTTGCTCTCAATTTGATCTTGTTTCTGCCTATATAGCTATGCATCGCATCAACTCTTCCCATGTGCCCATTATATTCAGGGACTAAATTCGTTTTTTTGTTTCTATCCTATCATCGAACTTGTTTTAGTGAAAGTTTTCCTCGAAAAGTTGACAAAAACGTGACGGTTTTATTATCCAACTACACAATATATGTTACTTTAACCCCATCAAAATTTCTGTTCCGCACAAAACGTAAAGTTTATAACCCCACTTGTAAGGTTTTGCTGGAAGGTACTGTTTAAGCTCGTGGCGAGCCTTTGTAGCACATAATTTTCAAAATTCACTAATTGAGATTTTTTACAGAAAGGGTCCAGGCGCGTGCTGCAGGGATGATTTTAGGGGCCGGGAAATAATTCCCTTACAGGGCCCTTCCACGCCTTAAATTGTATGTCATTTAGAGAAAGGGTTCGGGAACTGGTGGGGGTGTTGTGTTTGTGATTCAAATGTTACGTCGCTTGCTGTAGCCCAGGCGCGTGCTGGGATGCTTTTAGGGGCCGGGAAATAATTCCTTTAAAGGGCCCTCCTACGCCTTAAATTGTATGTCATTTAGAGAAAGGGTTGGGGACCTGGTGTGGGTGTTGTGTTTGTGATTCAAATGTTACGTCGCGTGCTGGGGCCGTCACTACTCACTAATAACCAGGGACTTGTAACGCATTTCTGTTACGGTATTCGATACCGGGTATTGTTCTTCATGTAAGGATCTTAACTAAATTAAATCGAAACATGCGCCCCCAAAAATGATTACTAAACTGAGACATAATACTTAATAGTACCAAAACGAGTAACTAAATCTTGTTGTTATCGAAACAGTTTATAACGAAAATTGCAGGTGCGAAACAACTACCGAAATACGGGATATAGAAACGAAACTGAATTTTAAAAAACTTTTACAATACTTATAAGAAATTTGTTGTCAAAATCAATATAATTATATGAATCTTCTTTACAAATTGTGTTGAAAATAAGGATAATAACAAATTGTAATACACATTCAAACAAAATTGAAACAAATGTAATACTATAACTTACAACACCTAGAACAACAATTTGTAGTTGCTACACATATATTTATATGTGCATTTTAGTCATGTACTTTTTGCGTTTGTCACTATAATCTGGGTCCAGAAATATTATAATTTATGGTAGTTTTTTACAACAATTACTAAAAAAGTATTTCTCCAAATTGTCGTAAAAATAAAAGAAGTGTTAAACACTGCCGTCAAAAATGACACACAGGGCCGGCTCATACACATTTGACGCCCGGGTGCAAGTCAAAATTTGCCGCCCTAGTCTAAAAGATTTTTTCAAAGTTTTTTTACTATACTTGCCCTAAACTAGGACAAGTATAGTAAAAAAAGTTTTTCATACTCGCTTTTATATGTACATATTCGGCTTTCAGCGATAAGCAGTCCCATTTTTTGCATCTTTCTTTCATTTGGATTTTAATCTATTTCTATTTTTTATACAATCGAAATTTAAGACGTACAATCAAATTTTAAAAGTTAAAGCTTGAACTTCCGGATTTTACAATTATGAATCTCGTACCTAGGTACTAAGAAAATTATACGTCGAAAGCAAGCTTAAAGCAAAACTAAAATTTCTTACCTTGTAAAACAAAATTATTATATTTTTAAATGTGCGTCAATTATGTCACTGTCTTAACTAGTAGAATACCCAATGCTAAGCTAAACATAGACTGTAACTAAACCGCTGCTTAACCAACAATGATTTAAATTTTATATATATTTACTATTTACGTCCAAGACATCCAGGAAAATATAAAAAAAACCAAACATTGCTAAAAAGTGCCGCCGCCGCCGCGCCAGTTACACCGCATAGTCCACATAGACGTCATAGATAAAAGCGCAGCGGCATCCGCACCCGGTAAAAGGTGTTTACTTAAATCTGTACCGACATCGAATATCGGTGTCTTTATTGGTTTATTCTTTATAAGGCGCGCCCGCGCCGCCCGCCGCGGATATCATATTCCAATAATAAGAATATGCCAATGAACAAATTATGAACTAAATAGGTATATATTGGAAACTGAAGACATGGAGTTTTCGACCTAGGAGAGAAAATCATCAAAAGTTTCGTATGTGACGCTTTCTCTGATTTTTTACTTTTACTGATTGATACCCTTTTTTCTTTCGAATTTAGTTTCGTTTTGCCGCCGCCCGGGTGCTTTGAACCCGCTGCACCCGGGTTTAGCCGGCCCTGATGACACAATATTGTAGTAATTATTAAAGCATCGACCAAAATTCACTTCTGCAAATTGTAGCATATTATAAGGCTATATTGGACCAATATAGCCTTATAATATGCTACAATTTGCAGAAGTGAATTATTGGTACATTACGAATAAAATGTTGTGGCATTTTTTAATTCAACCAAATAAATTTGTTCATACAAATTGTAGCAGATTGTCAATCTATTTTTGGGAGGTTGGATGAGGGGTTCAAAAAAGCCAATAGCTCTGCAAAATAATACAAGTTTTATTTAACCACTGGTATAAAAATCAACATATTAGTCTTAAAAATAAACTTTATGCTAAAAATGCAGTATGCATGCCTTACAGCTTTAAAATAAATACCTATTTCATTGACGAAT